CCCCCCCCCACACCTGTCCTCATCCATAGGTATATGATTTTTGTCTAGTCTCTTCCTGCACTCTCCAAACCCCATTCCCCCCGAGGATTGTCAGTCCACTCCCTTCTATGCCCCTGATTCTATTATATTCACCAGTTTATTCTGTTCATCAGATTTTTTATTCACTTTATTTTTATTTTTATTTTTAAAATATATTTTATTGATTTTTTACAGAGAGGAAGGGAGAGAGATAGCTAGAAACGTCGATGAAAGAGAAACATCGACCAGCTGCCTCTTGCACACCCCCTACCGGGGATGTGCCCGCAACCAATGTACATGCCCTTGACCAGAATCAAACCCGGGACCTTTCAGTCCGCAGACCGACGCTCTACCAGTTTCGGCTCTCTTTGTCTTTTGCTCTTAGCATTTTAATTATGATATGTCTTGGTGTGGTACTTTGGATTCCTTTTGTTTGGGGTTCTGTGCGCTCCCTGGGCTTGTAAGTCTATTTCTTTCACCAGGTGGGGAAAGTTTTCTGTCATTATTTCTTCAAATAGGTTTTCATTATCTCGTTCTCTCTCTTTTTCTGGCACCCCCATAATTCAGATGTTGGTATGCTTAAAGTTGTCCCAGAGGCTCCTTACACTATCTTTATATTTTTGGATTCTTCTTTCTTTTTGCTTTTCCGATTGGGTATTTTTTGCTTCTTTGTATTTCAAATCTTTGAGTTTATTCTTGCGATCCTCAAGTCTGCTGTTGGATCTCTGTATATTATTCTTTATTTCAGTCAGTGTATGCTTAATTTCTAGTTAGTCCTTTTTCTTTTTTTCCCCTTTTCTTATTTATTTATTATTTATTTTATTGATTATAGTATCACATAATTATCCTCATCCCCCATTCCCATCCCAAACCCCTCCCTACATATGCCCTCAAACCCTCCCCCCAACCCCCCACATCCATTGTCCATGGCCACTGGCCAGGTCCATATGAATGTACACAAGTCCTTTGGTTGATCTCTTTTCCTTACCCCCACCCTCCCCTACTTTCCCTCTGGGGTTTGAGAGTCTGATTGCTGCTTCTCTTTCTCTGGGTCTGTTTTTGTTCATCATTTCCTCTAGATGTGTGAGATCATGTGATCTAAGAAATACCCTGTAAGAGCCTAAACTGAGACAAGCCATAACAGTTATGCTGAGAGGCAAATGAATCAGTCTGTAGTGAGTTCCTTTCTGGGCCAACAGTTCTTTTGAGTTCCAATTTCAATGTCAAATAGTTCCTTATGTGTACATGTCAGCCATGCTATTTCAGATCTGGTTGGTGGACAAATGGTGGTAATGCAGGTTTGACCATCTCTGGTTTGGTCCTGGGCATCCTTCAGCAACACGCAGCTGCTGTCTGCTGGTATGGTGAGGCGTCGTCAGCATCTTCCATCTCTGAATTGTGTCCCTTCTGTCTTCATGGCTGGAGCACTTTTGTCTATTCCTCTCTGTTAAGGATTCCAGATGGTCTCGGAGTTGTTTTCTGAAAATATACAAACATATTCTCTACCAAAAGTTAATAAAGGGATATTTACTATAAATTTGACTTGGGGTCTTTTTTCATTCCTCTCCCCCCCCAAATGATTTTCCTCTGGCTTGTTTTGACACCATGTATGTATTTTCATGGTGTCTTGCTGTTAGCGTTTCAAATAAAGGTTAATTTTCTAAAGTACAAATTTTTTAGATGTAAATTATTTGCAGGATATTTTTCCTTACATGATATTCTTCCACTGTCACCTTCTTTTTTAATTTAAATAATAGGAGTCTTTTGGAAATTTTATAATGTAGTCTTGATAGCTTTTACATTTTAATTATTTGCGCTAAACTATGACTGCTTTAGGTTCATAACATGTTATGCAATTTTACCATGAGACACTCTGTCAATAAGAATTTTTGTTAACACTTTAGGAATAGCTTTTTGTACAGTACAATCAGTTTTTCTAGAATATTCATTTATTTCCATTAGCCACATTAATTTCCTTTGAGAAATTGGCTACTATTCACTAGTTGGTTCTTTTTCATATCCTCAAGGGTCTCACTAAATTTATTGGTGGTTTCTAGAAAATTCTTCAAAAACTTTATAACTTTGGTTTTGAACTCTATATCCAGTAGTTTGCTTTCCTCCATTTCTTTCATTTATGATCTGTTTCTTTGTCTCCTTATTTTGGCTGCTTTCCTATATTGATAGATTGGCTTTGAGTTGTCCAATAGGGCCCAGTGGCTCAGCCTCCATAGTTACCTGAGGTGGACACCCTTGGTGCATCCCTTTGTGGGCTGTGTGAACAGTCCTGTTGTAGTTAAGCCTTGATTCTTGTTGGTATTACTGGGAGGAATTGACCTCCAGGCCAATTGGCTGTGAGGATCAACTGTGTCTATGATGGGAGAACTTCTGTGCTAGAGACACACTTATGAGACAAGACTTTTTTCAGTGAGGCTTTGGTGCTCACTGAGTCTGCCCCCTGATGTGTCCCTTATGGTTCCGAGGAGTTGTAATCTGGATGGTCCCACTCTGACCACTGGGTACACTGGCTCTTGGATCTCCTAAGAGTTGCTAATGTAGCCTCTGCCTGAGGCCACCAGCAGGAGCTATGGAGAGATCTGCAGATTCCTCTTCTTTATTTGGGGTTTGGAGGTGCCCAGATGAGGCCAGCTGTGAAGCAATGCAAGCTGCTATTGGGCTTTAGGCCTTCTTTTGGATGTTTTGGGTCTTTCTGACTCAGCTGCAGTTTTTTAGGTAAGTTTAGAGTTCAAAGGTCCAGGCTATTCAAATATAAAAACTTCTACGCACAACTTGGGTGGGGCACGCTCTCAGGGCAGAGCAAACAGCAATGGCTGACTGTCGGCCTCGCCCTAAGAGGCCCCCAGGCCTCAGTGTCCCTCGGTAATTGCTGCAAGCACCTCAGAGAAAGCCACCCTTGAGTTCTGCCTGATGCCAGACAGTCCAGTTTCTCCCCGAATGAGTCTGGCTCCCCAGGCTCTCACCTAGAACTGGAGTTCAGAGCAGTCAGAAGCTTGTGTTTCCCTCCCGATTGAAAAAGACAGCCTCGTACTCAGTTGCCAGCCCTTTTTGCATGCGCATCTCCGTACCTCTGCACTTTACTTCCGCAGCTCCTCTGAGTCTCATTGTACTTTTCTCTTCCCTTCTAGTTGTAGAATTTCCACTCAGCCAGACTTCCTATGGTTTTGGATGATGTCTGTTTTATCTTTTAGTTGTAGTTTTGAAGTAGTTGTGCAAGGCAACAATTTCAGGTGTTTACCTATGCTGCCATCTTGGTTTCTCCTGTGCTCCAGATTTCTATTCATGTATGAAGGTAAAAATTTAAACATTAGCTAAGACCATTGATGAAGTAGAGTTCATGTAAACCTTTTAGCGGAAGAACTCAAATAGAATAAGACATGCAAAACTAAGTCTTTTAGGATGTTTAATGATTCCAGTAGAATTTATTATTGTTATTACTATTATTATTATTATTAAATCATCTATGTACATGTGTGATTTTGCTTCTGCCTCTTCTCTATCCTGACATTCAAGATATACCTTTAAAGTTTCTAGTTAGGAGACTAAAAATAGATCATTTCCTTTATTCAATAAAAATGAGCGCCTGTCATTTTCAGCTCAGTATGCTTTGGATAATGCATAAATGAATAAAATATTTCCTGCCCTCAAATTACTACTATTTGAACATATTGGGATCTCTTAGTTAAATCTCTGGAATGTATCAGTTTTATAATTTTTAGATTCTGCTTTTGCTTGTTTCTTTGGTTAGGAATTCTCATAAGGTTCATTCAGAAAGTTTATTAATATTGTAATGATGTAAATCCTTGTCAGTATTGCTCCCTTAAAAGATCATTGTAATCCCATCACTGTCAGAGAGAGAGAGAGAGAGAGAGAGAGAGAGAGAGAGAGAGAGAGAAGAAAAAAAAAGATCATTGTACTATCATTTGTGGGTTTTAGTAGAATCATGATGCTTCAAATATATAATCTTTTGTAAGCTATATAATACTTAGTTGAGCCTAAAGAACAGGGTCAGAGGGTCACTACTTGATATGTGAAGCAGGTTGTCCATAATAGATAGAAATAACCAGTCCAAAGACCTTATATATCAAGAGGATTTACAGCTCTTGATTTCAGTCTTCTTTTTAAATGGTGTTGAAATTAATGTAATCATGTGGTACCCTTAGGGGAAAATTTTAGTTATCTGGGACAGTGATAACAATATTAGTGTGTAAAAAACATCTTTTGTACTATTAAAGTTTTTCAGCCACAGAAAAAAATCTGTTTTAATTCTTAAGCAGTAAAAGATGATCAGAAATAAAACGTGTTAGTATGAATATGGTATTTCATATTTTTGATTGTTGTGCTCATTGATAATAATGGTACTTAAAGATTTAGGTTACATATTTTGCATTAGCCGAAACCGGTTTGGCTCAGTGAATAGAGCATCAGCCTGCGGACTGAAAGGTCCCAGGTTCGATTCCGGTTAAGTGCATGTACCTTGGTTGTGGGCACATTCCCAGTAGGGGGTGTGCAAGAAGCAGCTTTCTCTCTCTCATCAATGTTTCTAACTCTCTATCCCTCTCTCTTTCTCTCTGTAAAAAATCAATAAAATATATTATGCATTGATTACTGAAGACCTTTCAATGACATAAGAAAACTTTATATACTTCAGATTGTCAACCAGTATCTTGATATGAAATAAGAGGTTCCAGACTTCTATGTTTTATTTATCTGTGGAATAGTAATTCAGGGATAAATTATCATTAAAGATGGGTATTTGGAGGAAGAATTTGAAGCTAAAATTTTAACTTTAGATAGAATGATCTAGAGGTAGGTAGCTGTTCTATATTTAGTTATAATGGCATTTCTGGCCAATTTAATAAAATTACTATCTAAAGTTGCCAAAGTTTATTAGTAATGCATTTTTTGAAAGCTAAACTTTCAATAGTTGCAAACTTTATTCTAATTATGCTTATTTCCTCGCTTAGGGTTGAAAGGAGGAGTAGGAGGTACTGATGGACAAGGAGGTACCTTCCGGTACACCTTTCATGGCGATCCTCATGCCACATTTGCAGCATTTTTTGGAGGTTCCAATCCCTTTGAAATTTTCTTTGGAAGACGGATGGCTGGTGGTAGAGATGCTGAAGATATGGAAGTAGATGGAGATCCTTTTAGTGCCTTTGGATTCAGCATGAATGGATATCCAAGAGACAGGAATTCTGTGGGGCCATCCCGCCTCAAGCAAGATCCTCCAGTTATTCATGAACTTAGAGTATCACTTGAAGAAATATATAGTGGTTGTACCAAACGGATGAAGATTTCTCGAAAAAGGTTAAACCCTGATGGAAGGAGTTATAGATCTGAGGACAAAATTCTCACCATAGAGATTAAAAAAGGATGGAAAGAAGGCACCAAAATTACTTTTCCAAGGGAAGGAGATGAAACACCAACTAGTATTCCAGCAGACATTGTTTTCATTATTAAAGATAAAGATCACCCCAAATTTAAAAGGGATGGATCAAATATAATCTATACTGCTAAAATTAGTTTGCGAGAGGTAAGTTAGTCAAAGCTAAGATTCTGAAACTAAACATTTATACAGTCGATTTTAGGGAATTTAAATAATAGCTAATATTTATTTAATGCTTACTACCCATTATTTTTTAAATTCTCCCAAGAACCCTCTGAAGTAGTACTGCTATATAATACCTCTTTTATAAATAAAATTATACATTCTAAGTTTAGTTACCTATATTAACAACTTAAATGCTAATTTTAAGTGCTACCTGGATTATGTACTATGAGGACTAACAATGAATTTACTCTGTTTTAATAAGTGTGGTTTATGAGATCTGCATTGTCATCTCCTCACCTTAGTCCATGTGTAAAAATTTTTAAAAAAATTATTTATTTGGAGTAATTATGTAACAAAAAATGTGTTAAAAGACAAAATAATTTATAAGGATACTGATTTAGTACATGGGTTTTAATTTTCTATTTTCAGGCACTATTTCTCAAGTTAGATTATAATCTAACAAAAATGGCTATGTCAGTTGCCTGCTTAAAATTCTTAAGTGATTCCACATAGCATCTGTCATAAAGTTCAATAACAGCTTAACATAAAAGATAATTTTAATCTGATTTCCACCTATAACTGTATATGCATTTCCCTAAGTTTGCTCTATTATTATCTCATACTAGTATATATCTATGTCATTGTCTGAGCTCTACTCTGTAGAACACTATTATTTCTCACTCTGCCTCAATATCAACTATTAGTCCAATGCTTTCTTTAAGTATTCAATACTCCCAGAAGCTAAGATGGTATGTTGTGTGCCTTTTCTCTCACAAAAGACATCACTGTGCCAACATTTTACTATATTTTAATTACTAGTTTGTTTCTGCGGTCCTTGTGCATTCCTTGAAGTGTGGTTGGTATTCATGGTCCCTATATATGCTCAGCATTTAGCAGGAATGTATGGCATATAGTAGGTTCTCAGTAAACATTTATTGACTAAAACAATAAATGTATTTCTTATTCTAATGTTTTCCCTGCAGAGAAGTAGGTAATTGCTCCTATCATGTTCTTTCCAGCCCTGAATTTCTCCCTCTTTCTTTTCCCGTTCCATCCCTGCATCTTGAATGTTGCAATAGCAGACTCAAACTATCCATTTCAGTCTAGGACAATGAGAAAGACATGCTTTACTTCTCTTTTCCTTTCCTTTCCTCCCCCTTCTCCTTTTCCCTCCCTCCCTCCCTCCCTCCCTCCCTCCCTCCCTCCCTCCCTCCCTCCCTCCCTCCCTCCCTCCGTCCCTCCTTCCTTCCTTCCTTCCTTCTGTTTTTCTTCCTTTTTTCTTCCTTCCTCTCTCTTCCTTCCTCTCCCCCTCCCTCTCCCCCTCCCTCTCCCCCTCCCTCCCTCCCTCCCTCCCTTCCCTCCCTCCCTCCCCTTCCCTTCCCTTCCCTCCCTCCCTTCCCTTCCCTTCCCTCCCTCCCTCCCTCCCTCCCTCCCTCCCTCCCTCCCTCCCTCCCTCCCTCCCTCCCTCCCTCCCTCCCTTCCTTCCTTCCTTCCTTCCTTCCTTCCTTCCTTCCTTCCTTCCTTCCTTCCTTCTTTCCTTCCTTCCCTTTCTTCTCTTCCTTTCCTTCCTTCCTTTCCTTCCCTTCCTTTCTTTTCTTTCTTCCCATGCCTGCTTATGCATGTCCTAAAGAGATTTTTCTAATGAGGGAAATAATTTTATAATTATTGATATTCTTTTGGAGGTTAAAATTTTGCCATATTAGTATAATCTTTTACAATTGGTAATATTTTTGTTTAGATTTTAAGTTGTTTAATTTCATTTTGTGCACTTTTTAGGCATTGTGTGGCTGCTCAATTAATGTTCCAACTTTGGATGGAAGAACCATACCTATGTCAGTAAATGATATTGTGAAGCCTGGAATGAGGAGAAGAATTATTGGATATGGGCTGCCATTTCCAAAAAATCCTGAGCAACGTGGTGACCTTCTAATAGAATTTGAGGTGTCCTTCCCAGATTCTATATCCTCATCATCCAAAGAAGTACTTAGAAAACATCTTCCTGCCTCATAGAATGAAAAACTTTGCTACCCATATTTTGATAAGGCACTGAAAATATAAAAGGACTGGCTGTTGATTGATGTAGATGTGAATTCTGTATAAAGATGTATAAATTATTTTGAGGGTTCATTAAATTGCATGAATAGAGACAGTCAAATAATTAAGCAAAAGGGATTTTTACAGTTAGAGATGAAGAGAAATCATTCACTCTATTTGATTTTTCCCAAGTCAGAAATTTTTAGTATTTTGCTTACATGAAAAGTTTGTTTTTGTGGAGTTAGCAGATGTATTTCTAACAAAGTACTAGACTATCCAAGTACTTTATTTCTTATATCTTTACATTATCAATTAGGTTCTCATTTATAATGGAAATTTAAATTCTTAACTAAACTATAGATGTGATATGTATTTCTAGAAATAAAAACGCAAGTCATTTGGAACTGTGGCTAACTAGATTTAAAACACTATCTGAAATGCTGCTGTAGGGCTGGTACCCATAAAAGAATATCCAAATGCATATGTTTCATCATTTTGATTTTTAAAATACGCTATAATGTTTGTTAATAACATAGTTGTAATGTTCTTAAGATGGACCTTTTCTCCATAAAAAGGAAATTAATGGCAATTTATCTCCTGTGGAAATCCCAATTGTCTGAATTACTGATATTTTAGAAATAGGCTGTTTTTAAAATACCATATGTAATTTTATGCAAGTTGATTATATATCTTGGACTTAATAAATTATAGGCACATTTTATTGTCCACTAGTTTAAACTAGTTTGTTTAATAATAATAAATATGTTTTTAGAGGAAATGTTGTTACTTGGAATTAATTTTCCAATTACACATCTTCTATAACTTACTCAGAATATGCTATATGTACCTTATGCAATTTCCCTAAAAAGAATAAACTACCACGATGGTGTTAAGCCAAAATATGGGGAAAATAAACACTAACTGCTGCTTATGAATGATGTTGCTACTACTTGTTATCCATATAAATATTTTACTTTTTCATATGCATAATTGCATTTCTTAGGTGTTTTCATTTTTAAAATATACTCACATCTAAAAATGGTTTTGTTTTCTGTTTTATAACTCTACTGAGAATGATGTTTTGAAACAGCATTTGGCTCAAAAGTAATTTTCAGGATGATACACACACACACACACATGTTCACTGGGTCCCATCACTCTTTAGCAGAATATGAAATTTTTTAGAAATTCAAGAAGTAGGTTGCAATCACCATTTATTTTAAGGCTTTGAGATACTAGAGGTCCGATGCACAAAATTAGTGCGAGAGTAGGCCTTCCCAGCTCCTCGGCCTCCCTCCCAGCCCTGGTTCATCTGGATGGTTGTCCAGATGGTTGTTGCGCTGTTTGGCTGTTCGGTCGGTATGCATATTATGCTTTTAATGTCCTATATAATAAAAGGCCAGTGACCATAAGCATAATGACTGCTCGACCAGTTGCCATGAGGTGCATTGACCATCTCTCAGTCCCTCCCCCTGGACCGCAGGCCCCAGGGAAGCGGAGCCGTGCTGTGATTGGAGAACCACGGTGGATGGGGAAGTGGCGATGAAGCAGGACTGGGGACTGCGAGTGGGCAGAAGATGGCCCTGATGGCAGGCTAGGCCAAGGGACCCTACCACACATGATTTCATGTACGGGGCCTCTAGTTATAGATAAGTCACATGACATACATTTACCCTTTAATTTTTTAAAATTTATTTTTTTATGTTCATTGTTTTAAAATCTATGGTTTTAAGATATTCACAGCTATGCAACCAACCATTCTCTAATTCCAAAACTTTTAAATCACCCCAAAAGAAATCTCATATCTATTAGCTCTCACCTTCAATTCCTCCAGCTCCTGACAAACACTAATCTTCTGTCTCTCTGGATTTGTCTATTCTGAACATTTCATATAAATGGGAGAAGATTTGATATATATATATATATATATATATATATTTTTTTTTTTTTAATTTTTTTTTAATTTTTTTAATTTTTTTTTTTTTTTTTGGCTTGGCTTGGCTTAGCTTGGCTTCTGTCACTTGGCCATAATGTTTGCACTATGTATCTTTATTATATAAGGTGCTACTATGGGTATATTTTGTTTCTTTTTTTGTAACAATAATATTCCATTGTATGGATATACCAAAATTTGTTTAACCATTCATTAGTTTATAGGTGTTTAGGTTATTTCCAGTTTTTGGCTATTATTAATAACTAGAGGCCTGGTGCATGAAATTCATGCATGGTGGTGTGTGTCCTTCAGCCCAATCTGCACCCTCTCCAATCTGGGACCCCTCGAGGGATGTCTGATTGCCCGTTTAGGCCTGATCACACTGTGGGATTGGACCTCAATGAGCAGTTGGACATCTCTCTCACAATTCAGGACTGCTGACTCCCAGCCACTCACCTGTCTGATTGCTCCTATCTGCTTCTGCCTGCCAGCCTGATCACCCCCTAACCACACCCCTGCCAGCCTGATCAATGCCTAACTGCTCCCCTGTTGACCTGATTTCCCATAACTGCCCCCCCCCCCCCCCCGTTAGCCTGGTCACCCCTAACTGCCCTCCCTTGCCAGCCTGGTCACCCTTAACTTCTCTCCCCTGATGGCCCAATTGCCCCCAATTGCCCACCCTGCCAGCCATCTTGTGATGGCCATCTTGTGTCCACATGGGGGCAGCCATCTTTTACCACATGGGGGTGGCCATCTTGTGTGTTAGAGTGATGGTCAATTTGCATATTACCTCTTTATTATATAAGGTGCTACTATGGGTATACTTGTACATGTTTATATGTGCATAATTTTTCAGTTTTGTTAGATATATGCCTAAAATAGAATTGTTGGGAATAATCGTATATTTTAGTTGTAAGGAAAATGCTAGAGGATTCAGCTAATCATACTTATTAGTCCATCTTATTTATAGGTGTTTTTAGGGAAGGATAAATACCAAGAAAATATTCTCACAGGTTTAAAGAGCTGAACAGCAAGTCAGAGTGGTAAATGTGGTTTCTATTTTATTCACTTATTTTTATTTACTTTTAAGTATATTTTTATTGATTTCAGAGAGGAAGGAAGAGGGAGAGAGAAATAGAAACATCAATGATGGGAGAGAATCACTGATCAGCTGCCTCCTGCATGCCCCCCACTGGGGATCAAGCCCTACACCTGGGCATGTGCTCTGATCCAGAATCAAACAGTGACCTCCCAGTTCATAGGGTGACATTCAATCACTGAGCCACATCCACCAGGCTATTTTCCGTTTTAAACACACTGTCTTTTACTGAAATTTACTTGATTAAGTATTTTCTCCTAAATTAGATAAAGGATTTATAGATTATGTAGGTAAGTAATATTTGGATTAAAAAGTATTTTAAAGTATAAAATCATTTTAGCAGTAAAAAATTAATTTGCATTGGCAATAAAAACCATATACCAATATCTTTCTTATCTGAAAGGATATTGATAATGACTTAGCACGAAGTGCCCAATTTTTGTTAAATTCATTTAAAAGAGGCTTAAAGCTTTCTTATTTATTTAAATGATGTTGCTCACCTGCCTGCTTGCCTGATTGCCCCTAACTGCTTCTGCTTGTCAGCTTAATCACCCGCTAACCACTCCCCTACCAGCCTGATGGATGCCTGACTGCTCCCCTGCCAGCCTGTTTGCCCCTGTCTTCCTCTGCTGGCCTGGTTGCCCCCAACTGCCCTCCCCTGCAGGCCTTGTCACCCCCAATTGCCCTCTTCTATTGGCCTGGTCCTCCCCAACTCCCCTTCCCTGCAGGCCTGGGTCCCCCACAACTGTCCTTCCCTATAGGCTTTGTCACCTCCAAATTGCCCTCCTCTGCTGGCCTGGTCATCTCTAACTGCCCGCCCCCCTGCATGCCTGGTCACCCCCACCTGCCCTCCCCTGCCAGCCATCTTGTGTCCACATGGGGGCGGCCACCTTTGATCACATGGGGGTGGCCATCTTGTGTGTTGGAATGATGGTCAATTTGAATATTACATCTTTATTATATAGGATAGCTTGAACCATATGAAATTAAATACAATTCTTTAAATCCATAAATATAGCAATTTAAATTATCTAAATTATCTAAAGTAATCTCATGAGATTACTTTTATAGGTCAAAATTTAGATAATTTAAATTGCTATATTTATGGATTTAAAGAATTGTATTTAATTTCATATATATATTTTAGAAGCTCAATGCACATATATGTATTTAATTTCATATATATATTTTAGAAGCTCAATGCACAAAAAGCTCGTGCAGGAATGGGCCTTTCTTCCCCTGGCTGCTGGCATCATCTTCACTTTGGCTGGAGCCGCCTTTCTGCCTTTCCACACTGCCCAGAGTGGCTGGGGTGGTGTGGAACACCTGTGTCATCACCATGGTGATGATGCAAGCATCCTGCCCTGCCCTCGGATACTTGGCACCTCTGTATGCAAATTAACCTGCCGGCTTTGTTGAGTTAATTTGCATACTCCTAATTGGATGGTGGGTGCCACAAAGGTATGGTCAATTAGCATGTTACTCTTTTATTATGTAGATATGCAAATACATATATATGCATATATGTGTATGAAACTAAAGTTTCATAAAACATCATCTACACTCCTTAGATGGAATGGCCCAGATGTTTTCTATTTTACTCTAGTTCATTACATTTTTTTCTGATTGTAACCCACTACATTTCTTTCAGTATTTACATTTGTGAAATAGCTCTACAGTTTGAAAAACACTCCTAGGTATTCTCATGAGGATATAAATGTAGTGATTGCCAAACTTTAAAACTTAACTCTCAATATGCTTCAGTTTACTTTAAAACTATTATTTGAAAGCCCTTAACTCATTACCTGATTATTGAAACAGCAATAGATACAGCTCTTTTCTGGTCATGAAGCAAATTCTAACAAAGACCAATGACCAATACTATTTCAATCAATTTATAGATGGAGATCATTCCTCTCCCTCCCTCAAAACTTAAGATAATTA